TGAATGACAAATGAAATTATGACTATTTTGATCGAAAAACTTTTTGTAGAGTAAAAAGGTGTCCGTCTTATTTTATTTAAACAGATAACTTACTTTTATAAAAGTGCTGCTAATACGAGGGTAACTATTTATATTTTGCGCCTAACCAATTTTTAGTGTTGCCAGATGCAAACTGGAACTTCCATTGGAAAATTTGACATTTTTTAGGAATAAATACGTTGACAGATCGAAAAAAAGTTTGCCCCTTTGGTTACACCAGCCCTTCAAAGTGAGGTCCATTTGTATGGGAAATTTTAGGGATTTTTACTCATTGCCATTGTGAAGACAATAAGTATGGCCGGATCCCAGTAATTATGTGTTTGTTAGTCACAATCAATAAGCAACACAATGGCAGTTCAAGTTGTCCTCAGAAGGTGCTCAGTATGGCTAACTCGTCAAAACTTTTTTTGTATGAAAATGGGGTAGGACCACACTTTGAAGGGCTGGTGTAACCAAAGGGGCAAACTTTTTTTCGATCTGTCAACGTATTTATTCCTAAAAAATGTCAAATTTTCCAATGGAAGTTCCAGTTTGCATCTGGCAACACTAAAAATTGGTTAGGCGCAAAATATAAATAGTTACCTACGTATATATATTACAAAATGTAAACAAGCGATAATGATACGCACGTTTGTTGACAGATCATAGACACGTGCGTATGATGTTTGCTACCCTACCTCAAGCAAGAAATACTTGTGTTTTATTGCCCTAATTTACGACCCGGTCTTTCATAAATTGCTTCCCTGTTCTGCAGGTGTTTTTTAAGCTCTGCTGAAAAGTTTATCATCTAAGCCGCGAATTCGACATGAAAAATAAACAAACACAAATTCTGCCAACAATCAATTTTCTCTTCTCTTCATAGTATTTCCAAGAAGATTTTGTTCTGAAAAAATGATTGAAGACGATAGTTCTTCGCTGCGAAATGTAAAATCAAAATATCCATTATTGTGCGACATCCCACGTTCATTGAACGCATCATCGACGAAACTGCCCTCTCAACAAGTAACTGCAAATAACAAAAGATATTTATTTTTTTTCAGACAGCAACTGTGTAAAACAGCGGTCAGCCAAAGGACCGTTTTAAAAATTCATTTGAACTCGGATGAGCTCCAGAATGTATGAGCGAGTTCTCGTGTAGGCCATTTGAGTTACTTCAAAAAATGTCACCTCATATCGCAAATGAAAGGAACATCAGGTATTTTCGTGCTTTTTGACAGATGTACTAAATCGAATGTTTTCTATGTCGCCATCTGTTGTTGGTGATACAAATATCTTATCATAAGGCTGCCAACTATTTTCTACCAATATACTGAAAAATTCAGTACCAAAGCCAGTTTTTTCGCAATATCTCGGAAACGGCTGGATTTAGGCCCCAAATCTCGGCCTCCGGCTACCATCCCCATGAAATTTTCCGCCCGATCGAATGGGACTTCTCATAATTTTCCCCGATTTTCCATTTTCCTTTTATAGCGATAAGTTCATTTTCGGAAAATTTTCCAGGATTTGCAATTTTCCGGGAAATTTTCTTGAATTCGTTTTCAGCATACGATCGTACATTCATAAAATGAAAATGGTTGGAAAATCTTGGAAAACTCGGGAAATATGGAAGATTTTGTAAAAATAAAATGTACTGAAAATGACCCAAAATTTATATATGAGGCCATATTTTGGCTCCAGTGACTTTTCCGGGAAATCTGATCAGATAGAAAACTTCCTTGGGACTTCCTCTTTCCATATGTGTAAACAAGAATTTGCTTCCGACACACGAATTTTTTTTACGAATTTTATTAGTCTACTGAAAAAATCAGTAGAGTTGGCAGCCTTATCTTATCACATGGTTCTGATGAAGATTTTATTTATTGCTGATACAATTTTATATAAAATTACTTTTTCATTCATAAACCCAATTCATACACACCAATATTAAATGGAGAATCTGTCACCTTGACATGTGGTAATATAGCGGTTAACCCGATATAGAGGGGAATTTAACCTCAAACTGGATTGACTGGCGGAGAGAGCGCCATATATTTCTAGGGGAATATCACGTTTAAATTATTCCAAATATTTCAAGAAAATTCAATTTATCTCTAAGAATCTGTCGTATAAAATATGGTGGATATTTGTGAATACGGCGGACAATTGTGGATTTTTGTGATTATGAATGATATTTAAATGTATTTTTTCGGATTTAATGCAAAAAATCTCAAATATCTCCAAAATCCACAAAAATCTGATTTATTTATTCGAAATATTCGAAAATATGTCATAAAATTGATGTTTATTTCAAATATCTCAAATATTTCACAAGATTCAGGAGCGTGATATTCCCCTAGATATATTTATATAGGAATTAATCCAATTTGAGGTTAAATTCCTTTCTACATCGGGTTAAGCGCTATATTACCACATGTCAAAGTGACAGATTATCCATTTAATATGACAGTGTAAACACACATAAGAGTGAAAAAAATTTCATCATCAAGTTTAAAACACGGCACGACCAATTTCAAGTGTTGTAACTTTGTTCTTGAAAAAGCCGAATATTATCTGAAAAAAAACACTAACACAAAATAATAAATGGCAAATCATTCTTTTGTCTCTTTGTTGACATTAATTCCCACATTTTCAATACAAAGTGATTTTTTTGAAATGCTACTCATAATAGTAATACACAATCACGTGTTTAGTACATTTCATTGCTCAATACTGACACTCTACGCACCCTTTTAACGTCGGCAATGGTATCTGTCAAACTTCACGCTCTGAAAATGACCTATTCATAGCAAACATTCAAAAACAGTCAATATTTTAATTTTTATTTGGGAAAACTAACATGACATTCACTTTCGACATACGAATGTGCAACGATCAATTTGGTTGTATCATCTTGGCACGACAATTTTCAAAAATGTGAGTTCATTTTTACGGATCAAACAAAATATTTGACAATGGTCGTGCCGAGACGTTGCAACCGAATTATATAGTTTCTGTACCACCTCGGCACGACCATTTTCAAATATTTTGTAATAATGTTTCGATGAGATCTCTGAGTGTTCCAGCGGTAATGGGATTGATGTCAACACCAGCGGAGATGAGCTTCTGAAGACCGTCTACGATTTGGTTAAGAAGTGATTGTTCTACCGGATTGAGCAGGTTGTCCACAAGGCCAGCGTTAGCGGTGACGGCAATGAAGCCAATCAACAAAGCGAAAACGATAAATTTCATTTTGATTTTAGTTTTTTGTAAATGTCGATTCGAGAGAAGTCGAAAAACTGATGTCTTTCCTCGCATTCTCTCATCCTTTTATACAAAAATCAGCGCGACACTTTCACTTGTACCGACGTCAGTATGAATGGTATGATTATAAATTTTGCGGAAAATTCCACCATTTTGAAGAGCAGAAACCAAATTTTGGTAGATTTTCTAATGAAAATTGTTTTTGCGTTCAGGTACAATTAAATCTATATCTTATCTAGACTTTATTAATCTATTTTAATCCGATGATTATTCAAGGAATAGTCTTCATTCATTTAATCTGTAAAATCGAATTGATTGAAACCATTTGGTGTGTTTGTTTTCCGAAGTTATATTTATTTTTAAATTAAAATTTCAAATAATCCAGAATTGAAAGTACATTCAAGTATTTTCTTCTATCTCTTTTTAAAACCTAATCGAGTCAGATGAGTCAAAAGCGTTTAATTTAACGTAGAAAGCTAATTCGAATAAAACGAGAAACCGCATAATATCTTGAGTTGCATTCGGCATGTAAATTGCTTAGTTTTAATTGTAGGTGATCGTTTTTTGTACGGAATAACCACCCGCCAGTTTAGCATTGATGATTTCGTTTACGGCACGAAGTGCATGGAATGGAATCTGGAAAACGGGAAAAAAATGTTCACATGATGAGAAAAGTGTTTCGGATGTATGTGCACAAAATGTGGTTGGCACAAGATTCAGCTTGAATACTTACACTGAAGATTTCATTGATAACCTTTTGCTTGTCGTATGTGTAGACGTATGGTGGTCGTGGTGTGGTTGATGTTGTTGTGGTCGTTGGTCCGGCCGTTGTTTGCACTTCTTCTACACGTTGTTGCACAACCTAAAAACCAAAAAAGTATACATCAAAATTCAAATCCTAAAAAGAGAACGATTTACAGTGTTTTTTGCACATTTTTATTTTGATGGGACACAGATTTGCAAAATTGCTACAATGAAATCTGGTCCCCACATGCACCACACTGAACAAAGGTGTGTGCATAAATGGTTTTTTTTTTTCATTCGGAACATCCATATATTTACCTGATATGGTGCAGTAATTTGAATTCGTTTATGGAAAACAGCTGGCTGATAGACTGGGATTGGGTATTGTTTGATGACTGTCGTGTATGTGGGAACTTGGACTTGTTTTTGCACCACTGTGTACTGTACGATCGTGAATGTGTGCATGAAGTGTTGTGGATTTGTGGTTTTTCATTGCATTGTATTATTCATCCCCATGGTGTAGTGTTGTGTGATTTTGAGTTTTGTGCGAGACCAATCGTATGTGTGTGTGCGTCATGCAATGGAATGTGCAACATACAGATGACGAAATGTGTGTGTGTGTGTGTGTGGTTGAAATATAACAGAATAACAATGATTAGATTTTAGACCATGCATCAAGTATATACAACAGGGTTCACATTGAGTGGAGGGTGGAACACAAAATTATCGAATTGAAATGTAATTAGATACGTACGGTTTGGGCGGGACGTGGTCGCACTTTGATCTTCTGCACATTGACAACATTGGCTGGTTGAACGACTTGTGTGACAGTTTGCTGTTGGACGGTTTGTGTTTGTGGCATTTTGTTATCGGTTAAATCATTATCATCTGCATCGATTGAAGCGCTTGAGCTGGACACTGCACTTGAACTTGAATCCACATTAGTTCCGCTTCCGGCTTGTTCAGCAGGGAGATATACACCTGCTGGATTGCCTGATGAAACCTATATAAATATTTAATTTCCATGCAACACAGAGACATACACAGGTTAGCCCACACATAAACATTGAGATGATGAAATGAGAGACGAAAAAAAAAAGAAAGTGCATCGTGACGGGTTATTTACCGTTGTCGTTGCAGGTGGTGCAGAGGAAGTTGAAAGAGTGGTTTGAATTAGACTATATTGGGTAGTTCGTTCAGGCTGTTCAGTCTGAACGGCAGAGATAGTGGATTGTTCAAGTTTGGTTATTGATTGTTCAGGTATTTCTTGTGATGGTGATTCAGGTTCGGAAGATTCTACAACTACAGGTGCTTCTACATCTACCGTTTTGTCTACATTCGATTCGACGTTTGTTTCTACGGTCGTTGCAACGTCTACGTTTGTTGCAACATTTGTACTTACAGTTTTAATGACTTCTTTTCGAGCACCCGGTACATAGGCTTCAGCTTGGCCAACACCAAACGAGCCGCCGTTATTCACATCACCGGCAAGCGATGCACTAGCACCCACACCGCTACCCGCCGTTGCTCCGGCGAAGAGGCCACCACGAGCATTTGCTGAAAAAATTGATAAAATTCAATTTTCGATTTAAATTTTCAACACATTTGCTTCTGAAGGTAAAATTTTAACAAATATCACAAATTTCATTTCAATTTCGGTTGTGTTTCATTCAATTTCAATAGAAATACTCACGGCCAGTGTTTCCTCCCAATCCGGCGTGAGCAGATTGACCAAATGGTGTACCGGCACTGGCAGTAAGACCGCCATGTGCTGCATTTCCGGTTAAAAGTCCACCCAAACCTGCTTCGGCATGATATCCACCGAAATTCACTCCGATTTTACCATCTTTATATGTGATTGGTGCATCCTAAAAGCAGAAGTTAAGAGAGAATACCATGAAAAAATGAAACAATATGAAATCGCACAACGTGTCAAATCGATTGCTGAAAAAAAACGAATTCTGGAATTGGTAAAGATAGAAATGGTTTTGTGGATGAATTCAATTTTCAAAAAAATAAATACAAAGTCATTGCAATATTAATATGCTAAATTATCGTTAATGGTCTCCATTTCGAATCCATTATTTTCGACTTATTTTCGGCAAGAGATAAAAAGTGACAAAAAAGCATAATTTATGAATCGAAAAAAGTGTGAAGAATTTATCTGTGTTTCGAATCGCATCTGATTTACGGTATAATTAGTGAATCGCCATAAAATATTCCACATGCCGCAATCTAGTTTTGTAAACTATGAACAGTTTGAAAACATGAACGTTTCACTTTTTCATCGGTGTCATTAATTTAATACGTGTCGATCTCAAGTTCACAGTCACGAGAAGTATCATTTGAAGAAGAAGAAGAAAACAACATCAAATCGAATGTTATACGCCATTTACATACGCACAGTTGTTTACCTTGAGATTCATTCAACAAATGTTGGACAGCTTAATCGTAACACATTGCCTCTCGTGTAGCGAACTGATTGCTGTGTGTGTGTGACCAATAAAATATGCAGAAAGGAACCATATTGGATAAATTATTATGTGCCACAACACATCGTTCATTGACTCTGATAATGTGCCCTTTGTTTTACTTCCGGTCTATGATTCGAAAAGCTCATTCAACGAAATTCGATTAAAACACTTTTCCCAAATTGAATGGACGATATAACGGGTTAAAATCAGTTCTTATTCAAAAATAATATTTAAAAAGGCATTTTTTGCAAAAATGTCATAGACTATACAAAAAATCTGATGAGAACACCTTCTGTGAATATTGCATTAAATTAAATTAAATTAAATTTAAATTGATTTTTTTGTTATGCATTGATTTTTTTTTTCAGAACGTGTGATTCAGTCACACTATGACAGTCACAGTGTGACTTCATCTGTGTTTTATTTGCAGAATTTAATTTGTAGAAAAATAAGAAAATCAATTGTTCCTTGATATAAATACCAATCAGAAATATTTGAAATAATTTTTTAATCAATTTATGGTACACATCACAACCATTCATATGATATAAATTTCCGGTTTCCTCTCCATTTTCCCGTTTTACTTTCGAAAAATTCACAATTTCAAGCAAAAAGCCGATGTCTATTTAAATTAATTGAAAACTGGCCCATTGAAAACAAAAAAAAAAAATATGAAAACATAATTTTCACCATTATCATTAAATGAGGGGTTTAGAGCGAAAATGTAATACAGAAAAGTTGAGAGGAAAAATGTCAAATGAAGCTATTTTTACTATACAGTTCACTATAGTTTACTATACAGTTTACTATATATAGCTATCCCTTTTCCGCTCTCATTCATCATCGACATTTTTTCGCTCAACTTTTCTGTATAACATTTCGCATTGTATGCATTTCTGGGAACAATTAAACGTTCTCATAATTTTATAATAAATTATTCTGATTAAATTTCCTCGTTAAATTGAGTGCATTTCTCATTCAAAAAAAAAGGTTCGAAACGAATGTCATGAAAAAACAAAGCCAGTTTCAATGCGTCGATTTTTCCCTATTAAAAATCGAATGAATGAATGAATAAAAAAAGAGACGTATTTTCTTCGACTCTTCAACTCAAATCAATTCAAAATGAATCCGTATAAAACTGTTTCAAAAGTTCTTTTATGTAGCAATGCATTGTTAGTGCTGGTATAATCCATGGTCTTTGTTCTGAACGAGATGCAAATATGTCTGGTATTACTATGGCTGAATGATTAATAGCCGTCAAAATGGCTTCTGAACATGTGGAGTAAAAACGGAAGTGTGTATAAATATATAGTCGATATAAATCAGGTTGGTTTACCTGTTCCGATAGATGAGCGTATATCTTTCTCTAAACCATATCGAGTAGCAATCCTTTTGTTTGCTCGTGAAAAAGTAAGGAAAATAATCTCACTTTATCTTATCCGATCTTTTGATAGCTATTTTGACTTTTCAATCATTTCAGGGAAACTATATGATGTTGTGATGTCATAGCCCATACACATAGGTAGACATACACATATAACAAGTGTTTGTATCAATTATATGCCATTTCATCAAAATTATGAATTGATGTGTAGAAAAGCGGATCATCAATTAGCAGTGCATGAACGAGCGAAATATAAAGTTGAATCTTTTTGTTTATTGCATGTGATGGCAATAACCAGTCCATGGCAATTTTAAAATACGATAAATTCGGTGTGAGTGACGAAAAAGAGAATCCGTGTATCAGTTGATTCATATCAATTTCATTGTCTATCCGATCCGATGATAGACATGTTAATTAGGCTCAATTAAATTTATATGTCATTACGATAAACGTGTGTCAACGAAAAAAAATGAGCCGATTCGGAGTATGAATTCAATTTTTTTTTAATCGTTTTTATTCAATGAGCAAAATGCTATGTTCAAATTGAAATTATTTCCAAATGGTAGTTTTCAATTCATTGATTTCCCTCATTTTTTTTTTATTACCCCATTAAATGCAATTGATATTTTCAATGAGCAACGTGTTGCATCGCTTATCTCCAACATATTTATTTGAATAATTGGCCATTGTGATGGAGAACAATTTAATCAAAAATGTTCTTCAAGCAACACGGTACTATGCTAAAACAAACGAAACAACAACAAAAAACAAACACACTCAAGTACAGTGCACCAAAGTGTTCTGAAATGAGCACTTACAAATTTTACAAAAAATTTCTCTTCTGTGCATTCGCGCTCCGCCGTATTCATCAGAATGATTTGGTGTTTCAGCGTTGCAATATCATTGGCATTGCCATTTTGAATAGCTTCAGTCTTGGAATATAAGTTTGCATAATTGAAATATAATTGTTTATTTTTGTGACGCTCACTCTCTCTCTCTCTCTCTCTCTCTCTCTCTCTCTCTCTCTCTCTCTCTTCATCTTCGCTACATACATTCAAAAGTACCGCTCTTACTCGTTCCGTCATTCTCTCTCGCTCTGTCTGTCTTTATTTCTTGCGTTTCACTCGTTTGTCTCGACAGAGCCCCAAACAAACTTATGATTTTATTCATGTAGACGAGTACAAGAACATTAGTAGCAACAATTAATTCCAATGTAATTCATCATTTGCATATAGCCTCAGCTTGCATACACAAAAAAACCACACTGACACTTACGCGATATTTTACAATTTCGCAATTTTCCGACAATGCTCGTGCAACATTAATTGTTGCGTTGGCATAGATCTGTTTAATTTAAACTTGCGCTTTTTGCAGCGCGCGCTCGCAAGCATTTTCCGTGAATAGAAGCACATATTTTTCTATTTATTTTGATTTCCAATTCAGATAATTGATTTTGTTTCAATTCATATTCCGCATTTTGGTTGTTGTGTTGGATGCACAAAACACTGTGCTTAACTGGGTAAAATTATGGGCAAAACATGACGATTCCTACTGCCGCATAGCAAACACAATGGATAGATATTGCTCACAATGAGATCACACACACACACACACACAGAAGTGTGTCTGTTTGTTGCGAGCGCACAATTTTCCACATTCATCATCACACTGATTCAACGACGTTAATAAAGTCCGTCACACGGAATCTGATTATAGCCACATGAATCTCAAACACAACTAATGTGTTTATAATTTTTTATCATGTTCGCAAATTCGAGAGGCATGCGATTCATGCAAAACGATAGAGAGACACTCATCATTTGTTAATTAGCATAATTTCAGGCAATTTTTTTTTTCTTTACCTCCTCATTCATGCATTTATGCGACATGAGGACCTTGACAGCTTCTCATTTAATTAAAAACAAAACTGATCTTCCTACACATTCGCTGAGCGAAGAATACACGTGTGAATTTGAATGGCCATTAAGTTTCTATAGCTTTAGATTTTTTATTTACTTGGCAACGGTTAGATACGGTTAGTTACATGTTATTGCAAATTCTTATGAACAGATACCACGCCGTGGTATTTTTTTCGGTCTTTCGTCGCCCTTCCAAACTGTTTTATTGACATCGTCACCGTGAGCTTCATGCCTCTTCAAGTTGTCGTGCCGTGAATTTATTTGTCATTGCGGAATATTAATCCGCTATGACAAAATTTATGCAGTAAAATTGTGAATCTCCTAACGAATCGTCATACAGTTGGGTTTATTTTTCATTTGAAATTCTATGCGCGGAAGCTAAGACATGATCAAAACCAATGTTGCTGCTGTGAATTTAAATAGCGACGCAGGGAAGAGGAAAAAAGCGAAAAAAAGATGAAATGGAAAGAAGAAAAAAAAAATGATGAGACTATGAGCATGAAATCAGATTTCGCTCAAGAGTTTTCGCTCTTTGGTGAAAAGTTTTAAATAGAATTTGAGAGCTCATTTCAAATGCGTCTTCAACTTTGACGGTCGCAATGCAAAAGCGGCAATCCGTTTGGAAAGCAACAGGTGTGCGATGGGTACAGTACTTGTATCATAAAAATGCATCAAAGGAAATAGCAGCGTATCATGAAAGAAATACCGAAAAGAGAAAGAAAAAAGCGCGCGCACTGACACACACACACACACATCGCAAACATTTGTAATAATCGTTTGGGCGTTTGCAGTTCTTTTTTTTTCTCTCTTCATTTATTCTACCCTAGAGTGCTGCCGCTCGACTGTGTGTCGTTGGTGTGTGCCAATCTGAGCGAAATGGCTACCACATTCCAGCAGATTTTTGATTCAGTTCACGCTTGAATAAATATCGCATTGCGATAAATATTCCATGTATTCAAGCATTTTACGTTTTGATTTCGGATTGCAATTGGGAATACACGATGCCACCGTCTATCTTCCTCTCACACAAACACTTTTTAAGCTCTGAAATGGATTTTTTATGCAAAAACAAAAATGAGCACGGGATGTGC